GAGTCCAACAGAACTGACAGACGTGAAAAAACAGATCGAGTATTTACTGGACAGACAACTGATCCGCCCATCCACCTCTCCCTACGGTGCACCAGTTCTCTTCACCTAAAAACAAGACGGCAGTTTACGGATGTGCATCGACTACCGCGCACTGAACAAACAGACAGTTAAAAACAAATACCCCATACCGCGCATCGACGACGTACTCGACCAACTGCGTGGTGCAACAGTCTTTTCGAAGCTGGACCTACGGTCGGGTTACTGGCAGATCAAGATGGCGGACAACTCGATCCACAAGACGGCGTTCTGTACGAGATACGGCTCCTACGAATACTTGGTGATGTCGTTCGGACTCTGCAACGCACCAGCAACGTTCCAGGCGGAGATGAACCACATCCTACGGCCCCTGCTGGACGAATGCGTAGTAGTGTACCTGGACGATATCCTCATCTACTCCAAGAACATGAAGGAGCACGTGGAGCATCTGCGGAAGGTGTTCGAGATCCTGCGGAAAAATAAGTTCTACGTGAAGCTGTCCAAGAGCGACTTCGCACTGGAGAAAGTGCAGTTTCTCGGGCACATGGTGAGTGCCGAGGGCGTACACGTGGACCCGCGGAAGATCGAAGCCGTTAAAAAGTGGAAATTTTCAGAGAACGTGAAGGAGTTGCAGCAGTTCCTCGGCTTCGCCAACTACTACAACAGGTTTGTGCCGCAATACGCTAAGATAGCAGCGCCACTGACAGACCTACTGAAAAAGGACACGCCCTTCAAATGGGGTGCTCCTCATCAGCAAGCCATGGAACAGCTACAGACAGCACTGACCACAGCACCAGTACTCATCCTACCGGACCCCGAGAAGGACTACGTAGTTGAAGCAGACGCTAGTGACCAGGCAGTCGGAGCAGTACTGATGCAGGATCACGGAAACGGTTTACAGCCTATCGCCTACCTCAGTAAAAAATTACACGGAGCAGAACTGAACTACCCCATCCACGACAAGGAAGCCTTAGCCATAGTCGTAGCCTTCAAGGCGTGGAGGTGTTACCTAGAGGGAGCCAAGACCACAGTCTATACTGACCACTGCAGCCTCAAATACCTGAAGTCGCAGCCGACGCTCTCACGACGACAGGTGCGGTGGGTGGATTTCTTGGAGACCCACTTCCACTACGACATCGTCTACAAACCCGGGCTCCACAACAAAGCAGACGCGTTGAGCCGCCCCGGTCATGTAGCAGGCATCCAACTCGATGGGATGAACCCTCTACTCAAGGGTCTATTCCAACATGGGTACTCCGTGGATGGCGAGATCGCAACGGCAGAGAAACAGAAGCTGTTACAGTGGGAGAAAGACTTAGCGGTAAGGAAGGGTTCAGGAAAGATTTGGGTACCGAATTACGCCCCGCTACGGCAGATCCTTTTAGAGGAGTTTCATGACGTACCATACGCGGGACACTTCGGGAGCAACAAGACGTTAGCGGGAATAGCGAAGTATTACTACTGGCCCCGGATGGCAGCAGACGTGCAGCAGTTTGTCACCTCCTGCGACACATGCCAGCGGATGAAGAGTAGCAAGCAGAAGAAAGCAGGGTTACTTCAGCCTCTACCCGTACCGGAGCAGCCATGGCAGGTCGTTAGTCTCGACTTCATCACAGGACTTCCCTCGACCTCACGGGGACACGATTCCATCCTCGTAGTCATCGATAAATTCTCCAAAATGGGTCACTTCATACCGACCAACGCCACAGCTACAGCTGAAGCAACTGCTCGACTCTTCTTCGACCGCATCATCACCATCCACGGCATCCCCGCTACACTCATCTCAGACAGAGACCCAAAATTCACGAGTAAGTTCTGGAAGGAGCTCATGGGACTGTTGGGGACTAAGCTTGCGATGTCTTCAGCATACCATCAACAGACTGACGGACAGACAGAGCGACTCAATCAGGTGGTTGAACAGTTACTGCGCACAGCTTGCAAAGACGACATCAGCCACTGGGACACACAGTTACCGACCTTAGAGTTCGCTTACAACAACGCCTCACATGCGGCCACAGGGAAAACTCCTTTCTTCCTGTGTTACGGACGGGAACCACTCACACCACAACAGCCAACCACACCGGCACACGTCCAAGCTGCACACGACTTCGTCACCACCATGCAGCAGCTATGGGAGAAGACTCAGCGGCGTCTCACCACGATGCAGAACTCCCAGAAGCAGTATGCTGATCGCCAACGACGAGATCACTCAGTAGCAGTCGGAGATCAGGTGCTTCTCGACACGCGCAACTTGAACCTGTCTCACCTACCATCCAAACTCCGGCCTCGCTTCTGTGGTCCATTTCTCGTGGAGGCACAAGTGACACCAGTTACATTCCGCTTGCGCTTACCAGATACGTGGAAGCTTCACAACGCTTTCCATGTTCAGCTACTGAAACCCTACAAGGACCCCAACCAACAGTTCCAGGGATGGCAGCTACCGCCACCACCACCTGTACTCGTACAGGATGAACCAGAGTACGAGATCGAGCGTGTTCTCACTCATCGGCGCCGCGGCGGCAAGACCCTCGAGTTCCTGATACGCTGGAAGGGATACGACACCACTAAGGACAGTCGGGTGCTAGAAGCTGATATGGGTAACGCACGCCGTGCTCTCAAGGACTATCTTGTCAAGCAGGGTGTATCTCACGCCACCCAGCTTTGAGGGGGGGATGTGTGAGAGTACGTCGGCTTATGCCAGCCATGCATGCTTGAATCATTCAATTTACATTCTCTTTTCTGAGCTCGATCCTAGATCCTCATATGAGTGGTCCGTACCCAGAGCTAGTGGGCTGCCTCATGTACCTGATGACCTGCACTCGACCTGACCTCGCGTACCCTCTTGGCCTTCTGGCACGCTACGTGGCTCCTGGTAGGCACCGAAAGGTGCACTGGGAAGCTGCGAAGAGGGTACTGCGCTACTTGTGCAGCACATCGGGCATGGGGCTCGTGCTTGGAGGATGGGGTGACGTTGTCCTCACTGGACACTCAGACGCGTCTTGGGTTGACGACCTGGCTACGCAGCGGTCGTCACAGGGTTACACCTTCAGCCTTGGCTCCGGCTCTATTTCTTGGCGGTCTACACGCTCTTCTTCTGTTCTCAGCTCCAGTTGTGAGGCTGAGATCTACGCCACAGCCATGGCTGCACAGGAGTTACGCTGGCTCACCTACCTGCTGACTGACTTAGGAGAGAGGCCTCGTTCTCCTCCAGTTCTGTACGTCGACAACAAGGCCGCCATTGCCTTGTGTCAGGAGCACAGACTGGAGCACAGAACGAAGCACATCGCTCTGCGTTACTTCCTGGCTCGAGAGTTGCAGCAGCGTGGTCAGTTTCGTCTTGCTCGCGTGGCCACTCGGGCCAACACTGCTGATATATTGACCAAGGCACTTCCGTCTGGTGATCATCAGCACTTTTGTACTTTGTTTGGCCTTGTGCCTACGTTTCCTCACTTGCTGTAGGCTTTGCTTTTATCGTGATCTATAAATATATACTAGCATGCTCACTCTTGCTAGGTAGCGATCACTGTACTGTTGTTGTTGCATATATATCTCTGCATGTGAACTGGCCTTGTGGCCCTCTGCTTGTGCTCGATATATGTGGTGACGTTGTGATCCACCCTGAGCTTGCTTTTCTTTTCTTGACAGGTCTTGTGACCCCCTGTTCTCCCCCACTTTGCCTATGGGGGTGTGTCAAACATGAATGTATATGTTATAATTAAATGTAGGCTGTAGTGCGGTAGCCAATGTTGGGTATAGGTTTTGTTACTTGTACCCAACTTTCTCGATAGTGCAACCACCTTTTCTTCTCTCCACTCTCAACAAGCTGCTGTAGCGGCGGCTGCAGTGGCGGCAGTGGCGGTTGTAGCACTGGCTGCGGCTGGGGCAGCTGCGGCGGCTGGAGCAGCGGCTGAAGTTGCGGGTGTAGCTGCGGTGGCGCAAAAGAGCAGAGCAGCTACAGTGGCGGATGCGGTGGCTGCAGCTGCGGCTGTAGTAATGGCTGTAGCTACGGCTGTAGCGGCGGCTGCAGCGGTTGTCGCGCTAAGTGGCAAGGCGGTTGCAGCAACAGCTGAATCAGCAGTCGCAGTGGCGGCTGTAGCAGTGGCCTCAGCGACGGTAGCGCGAAGGTGCAGGGCGGCGCTAATGTGCTGGGCAAGGCAGACACGCAGGGCAGGGCTGACACGCTGGGCAGGGCGGAAGCGCGGGGCAGGGCAGTGCGAAAGCGCGGGGTAGGGCAGCGCGATGGCGCGAGGCATGGCCACGCGAACGGGCGGGGCAGGGCAGCGCGAAGGCGTAAGGCAGGGCGGCGCGTACGCGCGGGGCAAGGCGGCGCGTAGACGCGAGGCAGGACGGCGCGAAGGTGTGAGGCAGAGGGAGGGGCGCGCGCGAAGGGAAGCGTGAAAAACGCATGCGGGACGCGCTCGGGGGGGGGGGGGGGGGGGGGGGGGGGGGGGGGGGGGGGGGGGGGGGGGGGGGGGGGGCGAAGGGCACACGTAGGGCAGTGAGAAAGGCGCACGCACGGCAGGGGCTTTACGATGGGCAGCGTGTGGAGCAAGGCTCTAGGAACGATCCTAACCTAGTGTGTGATACCATGTCAAGAAACATGAATGGCTTGACTAGGATGGATGGGCATAGAAGTAGAAACCCTAGAAGTGTTATCCTCCCTATAGCTAAACTCACTGTAGCCTAAATAACGACAAACATCTAAGCATGGCATAAGTTTGAGACTCAGGGCACATTCGGGATAGGACAAATCCCAAAAGTTCGCGTCACAATCGATTCCAACGCACTGCATCGTATTACACCAAATTACAACCAAGAATCAAACACTGTCGAAAATTCCCAGACTCTGGTATAGTTTGGTACAGAGCGGTACATTCGATTGTGATGCGAACTTTTGTGACGCGTCCAGGCCCGAATGTACCCTCAGTGGTCAGTGGCCGTGGTCAGTGGTGAGCGGTCGGGAGTCACCCACGGTTGGTGCGTGGGAAGCAGCCGGTGCGCACGACATGCGCGTAGAGCAGGTTGTTCCAGGCGTCCGGCACGCCCGGCAGGCACCAGTGCACGCAGTCACCCTGCTCGCCGTCGCTGCTGCTGTCCCCCCCGTGCCACTTGGACTTGTGTGCGTCGGGGCGTGTGGAGGTGAGGCCGGTGATGTCTAGCAGGTGCACGGGCAGAGAGGCATGTGGGCGCATGGAGGATGCTGGCGATGGAGTCCGGGGGTCCGGGAGGTAATCAGGAATTACAACGGGCGTGTCACGTGGGGTTGGGTCTGAATCGGCTGCTAGATCACCGAATGCCGCTGCTTCGGCTTTAACTGCTGCTGCGTGTGCTGCAATGGCGTCTGCAACTGCTGCCTCTGCAAACAAGTCCCGGGACAGAAATGAAAGCTGCTCAACCTCCCTTGTTGTTAAAAACGTCTGGAATGGGAGCATCATGGTGGGGAAGGCCATGGAACAAATGGGAGGTATTTCTTTGTGGTTGATAGAAAAGGTTCAGCAAGGATGGACACATGCTGCGGATGCATGTGAAGGGAGTGGCTCACATGGAACACACTATTGTGCATGAGCCATGCATGCTTGTTTGTAACGAGGCACACATGACATGCCATGCTCGACACACATGAATTCCCCTACCTTCCACCATCCAGCCTGCCCCTTCTGATTCACAAGCAATAACAGAACAGCCAGCCCAGCAGCAGGAGTCAAGAAAGGCTACGTGTGTGGCCCACAAACCTACGCCTCCCATCCCATACACGCATGCCCATCCCCAATCTCACGGGCAGGGTATGGCAGCCGGCATCGGAGCCGTTGGTGTGCACTGATGGCTGCCCCAGCACCACCACCATGGGGCGTGCACCACTGCCCCCGGGCCCCCCCTTGCACGCTCCACCACCCACCCCCTCCACGCCACCTGCCCCTTCCACCGCCTCCTTGAACTCGTTTCCAAGAGCACCCTTCCCAGCAGCACGGACTCCATCACTCCCAGCGCCACGGTGCGTCCCTTTGTTCCCACTGCGCACATCACTCCCAAGCTGTGCAGCCGCATCGCCCCCCTCCCCCTCCCCACCCGTCCGCCCATGGTTGAGGATCCAGGCGATGGTGGTGCGCAGGGCCGTGTAGGCGCCGAGTAGAGGGTTGGCCTCCAGCTTGCGCTGCTGCTCGGCGCTCACAGGCTGGCTGCTCACGTGGAAGCGCCAGTGGTAGTCGATGACCTCCCACCTGGGATGCGGAGAGGTCATGGGGGAAAGGTTAGGATGGGTAGTTAGGGCGGGAGGAGCACAGGGGAAGTAGGGATGGAGAGAAGAAACTGAGGAAGAGTGGAGGGGGAGAAAGAGGGAAAGGAGAAGGATGAATATTGAGAAACAAGGCAGGGAAGGCGGCGACAAAGGCGGCACAATGTGCAGAGGCAGGCAGCAGGCAGGGTGGGAAAGCACCCGTGGTTACCGCGACCAGTGCGGGCCGGTGTTGAGCACGAGGAGGTCTATCTGAGGCAGGTACGCCTGCAGGAACTCGTCCGGCCTGTCCAGATGCACTGCATGCACCTGCGATGCGTTCGACCAGTCGTTGACTGCCATGTGGCAGAGCGACGTGGACCACTTGTGCAGGATGGTGGTGTTGGACTCCAAGAATTGGTACGCTGCGCCGTTCCACCCCTGCCACCCTGCCTCCCAGCTCAGCTGGAACTTCTTAGCCACACGACGAAAGGTGGCTTGGGAACGGCTGCTGCTGCTGCTGCTGTTCGTACTAATTCCGTTGCTGCTTTGGCTAGCGGTGGAAATGGTGGTGGTAGTGGTGTCCGGGTTGGCAGTAGTATTGAGTGTGGTGGAGGAGGAGGGGGGGCGAGGGGGGGCGAGGAGGAGGCACATGAGGGAGACGAACTGCTGCTGGGACATGGAGTCCCCTATGAACGCAACCACTCGGTTGCGGAACCTGGCAGCCAGGCAGGGGAGGGGGGGAACCGGGGGGAATGTGGGAAAAAAAGGGAAGAGGCGAGGAGGCTAGGACAGGCAGAGGCGATGAGGATTGAGAGCAGCGACTCATGGGAGAGAGCGGACGAGCTTGGAGTGAAGCGAGACAAGGATCACGAGGCACGTGAGTGGGAGGCGAGGCTGACCGGTCCAGGAAGTCAGTGGGGTCAAAGAGCGGCAGGTGGCACGCATGAGGGCGCCAGCAGTAGCGGTCGTAGCCTGCCATGCTGGCAGGACGCCCGGGCACACGGCAGTCCATGGTGGGGTGCAGCATCGCGCAGGACGCACGAGAGTAGCGCGCCTCATCACGCCCCTCCGTGCTGCTGCTGCTGCTGGTCGCGTCCGTCCCCTGCCCGCCCTGCTGAGCGGATCCATCCACATCCTCACAGGGCGCCCAGGAACCCGTGTAGAGAGGGCACGCCAGGCACTCGTGGCAGGATGACGGCAGGCCGTGCGTGTCATCAGGTGCAGGGGGTTGCGGTGGCGGGAGAAGGGACGCGGGGTGTGGTGCTGCTGAGAGCCAGTCTTGCAGCCGCGCTGCTGATGACGCCGGGTAGTCTGCATGCAGGCCACAGCAAACCACGCAGCACAGGGCACGAGGCACGAGGCACGAGGCAGGAGGAAGGGTAGGAGGCAGAATGGGGAGGAGAACATGCATGAGCAGAGCACACCACAGGTTGCACTGCATGACACGAAGCTGCACCACCCTCAAGAAAAGGGCGGGCTTTGTTGGAACGACACGGAAGTATTTCTATGGATATAACTAAGTGTTCTGATTTGGAGACGATTTTTTTTCCTTATCCCACCGCTCCTTCCCCCATTCCTCCTTTTTTCTTTTGCCCCTGCCCGGCAAGCATAAATCCAGCGTACAGACATGAGGCTTTCAGCGTCCAGCATACACACGGTAGCGTGTGGACAGTAGCGTATCGGACGCTGGGCGCATACACCATTCAACGCCCTTGAGGCCTGAAACGCATAACCACTACGCATTGCTGTTTACGTAACCACTTGCTTCCGCCACTAGCAAGTCGGCAGTGGTGCACACTCGTGTATATCACCCTCCCGCTACATCATCCGTGACCTGGTGAGCAGAGAGGGCGCAGGTGTGTGCGCGATGGTGTGTGTGCGATGGTGTGTGAGCGATGGTGTGTGAGCGATGGTTTGCAATGTGTGCTGCCTCGAGCGCGGAGAGCGCACGCACCGGTGAAGAGCAGCAGCGCAAGCAAGCCCGCTAGTGCAACGGCGGACAGCACCACCACCGAAACACCCCGCGCTTCCATGCGCGCCCACGCTCACTCCTCCATGCACCCGCCACGCGCCGCTTCCCTCCCTCCGCGTCTCTCGCCCACGCCTCTCCCTGTCGCCACTGCTGCAAAGTCGCGCCTTGTCGCCCGTTCGCCAGCCACGTTTCACCCCGCGCCTCTGGAGTTGCTGCGCAGCACACGCCACCACGCTGTTTCGTATAAATCCCCTCCGCTGCTCACGCGGCCATGGCGCTGGCTGGAGCGCAACGGGGCGATGCGAAGCGGCGGTGCGAACGACACGGCCTGAACGGCTGTGAGAAAGGCTGGCGGCACCTTTCCGCAGTGCTTCAAACACGTGTGGCTGCGTTCGCTACTGAACATGAGCGGGGGAAGAATGGGCAGTTAGGTAGTGTACGTTTCCGTATAAATTACATTACTGTTACCAGTGCAATTGACTGAGTGAGCTAGAATTGCACTAACGAAGCAAGAGTACAATGAGCGAAGGCATGAGCGAAGAATATATAGCGAAACTACAGTGGTAACGGTAATGTGTGGAAATTGGGGTGCGCGACGGGCCTAGCGCCGAGGGTGGGAAATGCCGAGGCGGAGGTCCGGAGCGCGGGTTAACAACCAAGCCGTGATGTTGGGTCGCGGCGTGAATAGTGGCGGGAATAGTGTCGAGGCGAGTGTCGCGAGTGGTAACGGTTTACTGTTTGAGTGCTAGTGGCGGGAACAGTGGTGTACGCGCTGAGAAGGGACGCGGAGTAAGGAAAAGGAATTTCGTGTCGCGGTCGCTGATGATTGCTGCTGGTATCCCGTGTAGCCGAACGACGGTGGAGATGAAGAGGCGGGCTGTTTCTTCGGATGTGATTGATTTCTTGCAGGCTGCGAAGTGTGCCATTTTCGTCAGCCGATCGACGACGACCAAGATTGCATCGTTTCCGCTTGCCCCAGCCGGTAACCCCGTGACGAAGTCCATCGTCACCTGCTGCCACGCACGCTCTGGGGGTGGTATCGGCTGCAACTGTCCTGCCGGCCGCTTCCGTGATGATTTCATGAGTTGATAGGTGGGACACGACGCCACGTGTCGCTGTACGTCGGTCAACATCTCGGGCCAGTAATAATATCGCTGCAGCTGCTGCCGTAGCAGTGTGCCTGGGGTAACCCCGTCGTGTGTCTCTTGTAGCAGTAGCTCCCGCAGCAGTGTGTACCCTGGTACCCAGATGCGGTCAGTCCCTGTTATTACGTAATAGACTCCCTTTGCTGTAGCGAACTGCTGCGAGTTTCCTCCAGTGAAGAATGGGTCAGTCTAGTAGCCGTGGGTAAATAGTCCTGTTAGGAGCGGGCAGGTTTGAGCGAGTAGTATGGCGTGGATTTGGGCAGTGGGGCGGGTCAGTGCGTCTGCGATGTTCGATGCCCCTTTCTTGTAGGTGACCGTGTAGTGGAAGTTTGACTCGAGGAAATCGAGCCAGCGAATCTGTCGTGGGTTGAGGTGGGGCTGTGCGCGGAGGTACTGTAGTGATTTGTGGTCTGTCCGTACTGTCACGTCTGCGCAAGTCAAGTAACAGCGCCACACTTTGAACGCGTGCACGATCGCGAGCATTTCGCGGTCGTGTATCGGGTAATTCTTCTCGGGCGGATGCAGTTTTCGTGTTTCGTATGTGATGGGTTGTAGGCCGTTGCCAAAATCCTGTAGCAGTACGGCTCCGATGGCGATGTTGTTTTCGTCTGTTACTACTTCAAACGGGCGGTGCGGGTCGGCGATGCGCAATACGGGCGGTGAAGAGAGGACAGTTTTCAGGGCAGAGAAGGCAGCATGCTCTTTCTCCCCCCACGTAAAAACGACCCCCTTCCGCAGTAAATCCGTCAGTGGGGCTGTTAAGCGGGCCATGTCGGGGGCGAACTGACAGACATCATTAACGAACCCCAAAAAACTCTGCAACTCCGTGATATTGGTCGGTGGGTGCCATGCTTTGACCGTGTCTAGTTTCTTCGGGTGAATCTCAACCCCAACCTTCGAAATAACATGCCCTAAAAACTCTAACCTGTCCTTAAAAAACTCGCGCTTGGAACCCTTGGTCAGTAGGCGGTGCTCGTCTAAAATCTTGAATACTGCTACCAAATTCGCTAAGTGTTGCTGCTTGTCGCGACTGTAGACGAGGATGTCGTCGAGGTAAACTATCACGCATTTATCTAAAAGCGGCCTAAACGCCTCGTTCATGGTCATCTGAAATGTCGCTGGTGCGTTAGTCAGCCCGAAAGGCATCACAGTGTACTCGAACGACCCGTACCTAGTCCTAAAAGTTGTCTTCGCGCAGTCTGATGGGTCGACCCGGATCTGATGGTAACCCCCTCGTAAGTCGATTTTCAAAAAAGCCCGTGCTGTTCGCAGTTGATCTATCAGTTCGTCAGCGCGGGAAGTCGGGTATCGCGATTTGACTGTTACCCTGTTCAGTGCTCTGTAGTCGATGCACATGCGAAACCCTCCGTCTTTCTTTTTGGTGTGAACACTATCTGTGCGGCGAATGGTGACGAGCTCGGCCGGATGAAGTGCTTCTCTAGCAGGTAATCTAACTGCTTCCTGAGTTCGTCGAGCTCCGGCTGTGTCAGTCTGAACTGTCGCTGTACAGTTGGCTGTGCCCCCGGTTCTAATTCTATCCGATGGTTGTGTGCGCGCTGAGGTGGCAGTCCTTCCGGTAAGTCGTCGGGGAAAATCCGTGGGTACTGTTTCAACAGTTCCTGTAGTTCGGGCGGTACCGCTGCCAGCAGTTTCTGAAAATCTTTCGGCTGTTCTGCTTCTCCTACTACTGCTATGTCTACTGCATACACGTCAGCTCCAGTGGTGACATCCCGTTTCATTGTGATGGCGTTGACGTGGACCGTTGAAGACTCAGGCGACTGCCAGCGAGGTAGTTCAACCCAGTTACCGCTACTTCGCATTGTGCAGCTACCCGTCGTCCAGTCGATTCGCGGGTTATACCGTCGCAGCCAATCACGTCCCAGTAAAATGTGGTTTCCATCCAGTGTCGTCGCGAGCATTTCCTGTGTAAACCCAAAGTCCCCCCCGCAGCGGACTTTTACTCTCTCCACCTTCTCCCGTATGGCCAGCGGCGTGCCGTCAACTAAGCGTGCGTCGATCTCTAGTAAGCACCGGCTAAGTGTCAGCTGCAGTTTCCGTGCGGTCGCGATATTAACTAAACTATGGCTTGCTCCTCCGTCGATAAAAATCTTCACTGCTGCTCCCTGTATTTTTCCATGAATCAGTACTTGGCAATCCGTCGCTGTACCCTCCTTATTCATCCGAGCCCGATCGATGGCGTGAATCGGTACTGTGACTCGGTGAGGGTCGGTGAGGTTGGGCGAGCAGGCAGTCTCGTCAGTAGTTGGCCCAGATTCTACTGACTGCTGGCGTTTCCCTGTGCCTGAGACCCCCTCCCCTGCATTGCTCCACGGCGCCGCAGCTCCTCTGGACATTCGCTCTTGCAGTGGCCCGCCCTGTTGCAAGCAAAGCAGCGCCCCTTAAACGGCGCGGCAGCTGCATTCGTCGCAACGGCGTGTACGGTGGCGTGCTCGGTCGGTCCCCGAGGACGATGTCCGTAGTAGGACCCCGGTCTCGGTCGGCGCAAAATGTCGATTTTCTCGGTGAGCACGAGGATCTCGTTAAAGTTCGAGAGCCCGCGTAGCATGATTTCGTGCGAGATATCCGGCTTAAGCGCCCCGACGTAACGGTCCACCCGCTCCGCCTCGTGCATGTAGCCGACTTGCTCGCATAATGCGAGAAAACCGCTCGTGTAGTCTTGAACCGACCCGAGCTGCCGCCAAGTACGCAGTTTCTGACGCGCCGAAATTGAAGCCGCGATCAGCTCGTAGTGCGTCCGAAGCCCTGCGCACCACGCATCCCACGTGCTGTACTGGGCGGTTTCGCAGAACGAACTCCAGGTGACTGCTGGACCCGCGGGCCCTTCCTCTTGCGACAGTGGGTTGTAGGCGCGCGGCAACGTTACAATGACTCGCCACCAGTCCATGGCGGGGCCCCTCAGCAGCGAGACGGCGTATCGGATCTTCGCTGCGTCCGACTCGACGTAATTCGCGTCGAAAAAAACGTTCATCGTGAAGACCCACGATTGAACCGTCGGACCTCCACGCTGGCTCGGGTCGAAACAGGGCGGACGCTGCGGCTTGAGTGGCATTGGCGCCATGATGGCGTCGTCGCCACTTGTCGCCGCAAATTCCACATGCCGACGAGCTTCGCGTGGCTCTCGTGGGCTGGGGGCCGGCCTGTTCCTCTCCATGCCAGGCATCAAATGAGCGGTGCCATCATTGGCTGCGCCTGGGCGCTGTCCCACGCTGTCGTTCTGTGTTGGTGTGCCGGATGAGATGATGATCGGCTCCTCCGATTGTGCGGGTGCATTTGCAGGTGCGTGTGGTGGTGCTGGAGCATTCACCGTGGACTGCGGTCGAGCGGAGTCGCGTTCCGCCGTGAGCGTCGCAATCTCGAGTTGCGAATCCTCGAGATGGCGCACCAGACGCTCGAGCTGCTCCTACGCCAGCATCGCGAGGGTGAATTCGACCATGGCGGGGGTGTCGGGCAAGCTCAGCGAGAGCCTCTGTCGTGGCCGTGTATGCTTTCGAGAGGGCACTACGAGCGGCGGTGCTTGTGTCGCTGAGAGACGTCTACACCCCAAAAAAATTGAGATAGTGGGGAAGCGAAGGTGTGGATGCGGTTCGGGAAGATATCGTAGGCTCTGAATACCAAGTGTTACGAGTGCAATTGAGTGAGCGAGCGAGAGTTGCGCTATCGAAGCAAGAGTACAATGAGCGAAGGCATGAGCGAAGAATATATAGCGAAACTACAGTGGTAATGGCAATGTGTGGAAATTGGGGTGCGCGACGGTCTATCGCCGAGGGTGGGAAATGTTGAGGCGGAGGTCCGGAGCGCGGGTTACCAACCGAGCCGTGAGGTTGGGTCGCGGCGTGAACAGTGGCGGGAACAGTGTCGAGGCGAGTGTCGCGAGTGGTAACGGTTTACTGTTTGA